GGGGGGGGGGGTCCATGCCTAGATCAGCCCATAACGGTGGCCACAGAACCCACACTAGAACAGCGGGGGCAGGGTCCACTGGGTACTGTGTGTACTTGGGGATTCATCCGGTCTTTAGGAACGCATGTGAGGGTACATGTGAGAGTTCCTCTCTGAACATGGGTGTGCGCGTGCTTGTGCCAGCCGGGGGTGACTCCAGAGCCTGGGGTAGCTATCAGGGATCCCCCAAGATCCCTGGACTGCAGGACGCCCCCACCCTCCACTCTGGAGCTCGGTGGCCGCGATCACCAAGCCCACCACCAGGGGGAGCCCCTGAGCACTCATGGCCCAGGCTGGGCGGAGGCCCAGGGCAAGCAGAGCTCTGGGATGTTCATCCATAAATCCCGAAACCTTGGGGGGTCAGGCATGTGGAAGGGACACTTGGCTCTGGACATGCAACGGGGACAGTGACCCCCCCCCCCACCTTGGGATCGTTGCCAGGCTCACTCAGGCAGCCAAGAACTCGGGCGGCAGTCAGGGCCTGGGCGGTGGCCCCGGCAGTTACAGCCACACGGCCACCGCCACCAAAGTGGAGACGCTGAAGGAGGAGGAGGAGGAACTGAAGAGGAAGGTGGAACAGTGCAAGGTGAGCGAGCACTTGGAGTTCCCTGGACGTGAGGGGGTGGCGAGGGCGGGTACTGACCCCATTTCACAGGGGAGGGAACAGAAGCTCAGAGAGGCGATGACTCACCCAAGGCCACACAGCCAGGAAGCAACAGAGCCCAGGATTTGAATCCAGGCCGTCAGCCTCCAAGCTGTGTGCACTCGGCCACTATCTTGTGGCCTCTTGTGTCTACACCGTACCCGTCATTCCTGGAAGGCGGGGACTTGGGCTACTCACCACGGTCTCGGTGTGTTTGCTGAGTGAGCGGATGAATGAATGGTGACTAAGACAAGCCACCGTGCTTAGGGTATGAGGCACAGAGATGAGGACTAGAAGCCGTAAAAGTCCCTTAAGAGCCGGGGTGGCTCAGTCGGTCAAGCGTCTGACTCTTGATTTCGACTCAGGTCATGCTCTCGCGGCTCGTGGGTCCAAGCCCCGCATCGGGCTCTGCCCTGACAGTGCAGAGCCTGCTTGGGATTCTCTCTC